ATGTTGTACCCCACCATGCATCACAAAAGGGTAAGAAAAATCAGGGGATAATGCTTAAGTGTTATAATCCTAATTGGGTTGAATTTATTCCTTTTTCCCATCAAAAGGCCCAACCCTTAGCCCTTGCTGCCCAAATTCCCCCCTAGCCAAATCACAACCCACAAACCCTCTCCCACAACATCCAAACTCATTTTCTCTGCCCAAAATAAAGTCTTTGTTATTCATTACTAAGCCTAGGCCGAAGGTGAACAACAAAAGACAAAATAAAACTTTTCTTTATTTTTTCTTAGACATGATAATCGATTATCCAACATAGATAATCGACTATTGCTTCCCTCTGAATCCTCTCAACGTATTCCTGCAAATGCTCCATAATCGATTATCTCCCTATAGAAAATCGATTATTACTCATCTCAGAAGATATCCAGTTTTGGGAAAATCCTTGTGAATCGATTATCTTGCAGAGACAATCGACTATCTGGTTCCTCATAACATTCCCCGTTCTGTATCAAACCCTATTAATCGATTATCAGTAAGAGATAATCGATTATCGTCTGTCTCAGAACTTGGAAACCGAAGTGGTCTCTGATTTAACAGTAAAGGTTTTGTCATTTAGGAACACACTTGACTAAATATCATTCCTACTATACATGGACGAAATTCCCATGTTATTATTCAACAAAATCAAAGACTTTTACAATATAAAACAAAGCTTAATCCCTCATCCATGTGCTTGCCCAAAAGTCTTTGATTGAATCTATGAGATAAGGGGGGACAGCTGCTTCTATTGGAAGAAAATAGTGCACAGCAGAAAGTGGTTTGAGTCCCTAGACACTGCAAAGGGATACACAACTGAGATGGGTTATGGGGCTGGGGGAAAAACTTGATTGGGTTCTCTTTGTTTGGAATAGACTATCTGTCCCAAAACATTAGTTTCTCCAATGGCTGATTAGCAAAGGGAGGGTCAGTTAAGTCTAGGCTGGAAAAGTTCATGGACATAAGCAGGACTTGTGAACTATGTGATGCAGCGGAAGAAGACCAGGACCATCTATTCTGTAATTGTAGTTTTTCCAAGGATCTAATCGATAGAGTATCTACCTGGTTAAATTACAAAATAGAGGGAGGAACGGTCCAAGACCTAAGGCAGAAGCTGATGAAGCTGCAGGGGAAGAGGAGGAAACAGGTCGTAAGTGCTTACTCGACAGCTTGTTATACCATTTGGAGAGCAAGGAATAAAGAGCTACATTCAAGAAGCACGCCACAACTCGAGAGTATGATGCAATAGTTACAAACTACCATGGCTACATACTAGGAGAAAGGGAAGAGGAAGAAGATAAAACGATGAGTAGATAATTGGCATAGAGTGTGATGTAATAGATTTAAATGTTTGGTTTCCTTGTGTAAATGGATTTGGAGGTAGATGAATGAAACAAGTGCATTTGGTTAAAAAAGAAGAAGTACTCCACCCGTCCCTAAAAACCTTTCTCCTTTTTTCATCCATCCCAAAAAACACTTCTTATTTCTATTAAAAAGTCACTTTTATCCATTATTTTTTCATACCCTACCTATCACATCATACCTTTTTACTAATAATCTATCCCTTTTTACTAATAATCTATAAATCAAATCATACTTTTACCCATCACATTAAAGGACATTTTTGGAAATTCAATACCAAAATACAATCCCCTTAAATCCCTCTTCAAAATCAAAACTCTCATGTTTTCCGGGACGAAGGTAGTATATTTTAGTATACAATGTATATTTTTTCAACAAACTAAACAAAGAAAAGTTAGAGTTGCATGTCATATACGCCCTCCATCGTTGAATTTTCTTCCGAGTTTGACATTGCACAATTTTTAATAAATTGGAATGTTGGTGGTTGTTGTTTAATTTGTATAAAGGAAAGAGAACTGATATGAGCCATAATTATATACGGAGTATTTTATTTCAAAAGTTTTTATATGTAACATTATTTAATTTCTAATATATTATTTCAACCAATTAAATTAAATAAATTTATTTTTGTTGAAGGATAACACATGATGTCGAATTTGAGAGCCATTATTTAAATATTGAAGTAATTTTTTGAATCATTTTTACTCTGCACTGCTCCGTATTTGTTCTTGCTCTACCCGTCTTCTCAGATTCAACCTGCAATCGCCGTCGCGTTTCTCTCCTCGTCTTCCCGCCCGAATTCATCCCAATTCAGCTCCAATGTCGATTCCGCAACGCGAATCATGGGACTGTATGATCCCAGGTCCACCTTCACGCAGCAACGGCGATCCAAACCGGGAATTCAGGATCTCTAGTTCTTCGACCCTTAGTAACTCTAGTCAGAAACTGGGAATTCAGGATCTCTGCTGGATCCAAACCGGGCTTGATTCGTGGGCCATTGCTGCTCTTTCTGGACCTTCGCTTTTGAGCATCTACAGCACATCATCTGGTCGTTGCTTATTCAAATGCGATGCTTCTCCGGAGCACTTCTCCTGCCTTTGCCGTGATCCGTCCGATTCCAGGCTTTTCTGTGCTGTAGGGCTTAAAGGCTTCTTGCTCTCAATCAAAGCATTTGGGGATTCTGAAAATGATGTTGCTAATAAAGAACTGCTAATCCGTACGGATGCCTCGGAATTGCAGAAGCTGGAGAGGGATTCAACTGCTGCTGTTAATGGGTCTCCGGAATTGGCTACATTTCCTAATTACAAAGTGAGCTCTGCTTTTTCGCCACTCTCCAAGCATATCTTTTTGTTTCTTTTCCGAGAGAGCTGGTAGTGTTTGATTTGCAGTACGAGGCTACATTATACTCTGCAGGGTTGCCCAGAGGTTGCGGGAAGTTCCTACAAGTCTTGCCAGATTCAAATATGGAGGTTTTGTATTGTGCTCATCTTGATGGGATGATCAGTATTTGGCAAAGGAAAAAGTAAGTAGTGAGTGACTGAACTTTAGTTTCTGTTTGAATTGTATATTCCTGCACTTCTGTGCTGTTAGTTTGCAGTGTCTGCAAAAAGGAGTATTGCTTAGTGTTCTGATACTAAATGTTTACCCTCCCCCCTCTCAAAAGTTTGAACTAGGAGAGGATTTTAGATTAAATGTGTCATGTAGTGACAGCATACTCTTATGCCAAATTGCTAGTTGAAATGAAAAAGGTTCCATTGCACTTTTTTGATAGAATCAGAGTTTTGATACTGTTTTTCTTTGTTACTCATATGAAAAGTGAAAATTCATTATTAAGAGGAGTAAACATGAAACATGCTGCAAACAGCTGTTCATTGTAGTGCGATTGCTTTAGGGCTTATTGGTTATGAACAAACATCTCGTATGCAGCATAAAAACTGTCAGGCTTTTGGAGACCAGAGTATTATAGTGCAATTATTTTAGGTGTTATAAACAAATAACTAAAATTGTACTGTTTTCTGTTGGGCTATATACACCTTCGGGCTTTTGGAGATCAGAGTATTAGAGTGCGATCATTTTAGGTATTTGTTCATAATACCTCAAATTTACTCAACTAAGTACTCTATCCTATCATCTGTCCAGCTGAATTCCATAGAGCGGAACTGTTTAGGCAATTGTTTTAGTAACTTATGTGTGGACCAGTAAGCTATGTCCCGGAATTCCCAGCAATCTGTACACAAAGAAAACTCGGTCAGGTTAAGACTAAAACACCCTGTTTTACCCCATTCCATGTCGATTCTTCTGTGACATTGCTGTTTATTTTGGTGCATATGGAATTGAGTTGTCGGACTTATGGTCATATACTCCTATACTCCGATGGAGTCATAGATTCACTATTTTTTTTTGCTTTGGGGTATGATCATTGGCGGATCTATCAAGAAGCTATGGGGGGCATGTGCCCCCAGTGAAATTGGCCTTGTTAGTGTAAAAAGAAATACCATGGGTATTTTTTTTGAGTTGTTCCATGGAGTGCCCCCATCCAATAAAATGATGTGCCTCCATTCACCTGGCTAGCTCAATTGTTCAAGCCCAAAAAAGAAATTGTTAGAGAGTATCCAATAATGTGGTTCAACTCAAGTGTCTTCTTGCCCAATCCAATGATCCAAACCCATGACGGCTATGTTCGTCATGGTAAAATTAATCATATCCTATTTTAAAGGGCTCAATAAGTTAATCTCTATAGTTGTGCGGCGACCTTTAAACTAGCACTTACATGCTTTTGTTTCAATTTCTTCAATGGTTTATGTTGTACTCAATTAATTATTTTTTCACATTAGAACTTTTTAGTTTAATTTTTTTTGAATGATTTGTTTCACAGAAAATTTATTTCTCTCTCTATCTCATAATTGATAACAGAATTCAAAAGGACAAGTAAAATTTTGTGTGTTAAATTTATTTTATTTATAAATTGGTATAAAAATAAAAAAAACAACTTATTTTGTACGAACTAATAAAACTAAACCAAAAGTTCTATTCTTTACAAAACAAGAAATGATAAAAATATTTTATTTGATCAAATAATCAATCACAAGCAATCAAAAATTTTTCAGGAGGCTAAAATAATAACGTGGACTACGTATATGTTTTCATTCCATGTCCCCCCCCCTCCGACCCCAATACTTTGGTGCCCCCAGTGGTTTCAAATCCTAGATCTGCCACTGCCCACTGGGTATGATGGAATGAAGCAAAATGACTTTTTAAATTGACTGTGCTTCTTTTAATAGTGAAGTAGCAGTTAGTCAATGCAACTTCGGATTCTTATCTTGGGTCATCCGGAAACAACCGCTCTATGTTTTAAACATAGCGGTCAAGCTGCGTGTGTGATTATCTTTGGTGTTTGAGGGGAGTCTCTTTGGAAACAACCTCTCTACTGTCGAGTAGGGGTAAGGTCGGCGTACACACACCCTCCTTAGACCCTACTTTTGTGGGGTTCAATTGGGTTGTTGGTATTGTTGTTGTACTCCTATACTATCTAGAATGGACTAGGATCTTACGATAGGATCCATTTCATGCATAATACAATGGATTCATGGACAAATAAATATGGTCATTCAAATTGAGAGACTAACACATTTGATGCCTTCTTGCAATGACTTTGACAAGTGTATTTTATCCCACAAACTTTGCCATGTTTTCTCAATATATAATCTGTTTTGTTTAGTTTTTTTAAAGATAAGATAACACATATTTTTTGATAATCTAACAGAGGAGAGCAGGTATATACAATCTGTGCTATGGAAGAATCTATGGCTTCACTTGGCTTATATGCAAGGTAGTCAAACTCGCGAGTTGACTCGTACGATTCAACGATTTTGAGGATCGGCAGAGGCTTACCGATCTGGGACGGCTGCAGAATCGTGAAATCCATGGACTCGTTCGGATCGACGATTCGGCTCGTGGAAACGCAGGATCGGCTACAATCGCCGAGTCTAAGAAGTCCAAATAGTGTCTCTTCGAAATCTCCTTCCAATCGATTCTGGAACTGCAATTGGATAGTCGCGCCTGTTGCGACTCCCAATTTCTATCGGAAACAGGTATCTCCCTTTATTTATTCCCAATTTCAATAGGAAAGCAGCGTAAATAGATTCCCAATTTGAATAGGAAAGCAGACGTATCTTCTTCTATTTATTTGGGAATCGAGACTTCTCTGTGTATCAGTCTTCCTTCTTTTTTTTTTTCTCCAGCGACATTTTTTTTCTCCTGGGAATCCTCTGTGTCTGTCGCAGGCTTCTTCTTTCCCTCTACTCTCTTACAATGTCAATCCCTGCTTCAGCCACTCCATTTAGTAGACCAATTGCAAAAAATGCTCCTGGGCAGAAAACAGATGTTGCTTGGGAACATTGCAAAGC